GACTATGAGTTAATGATCACCAGTTGACATTATGTCCACACCTGGTGACTATCCTTGTGACTATGTCCAAACACCCCCCCCTCCCGGTAGTGTAGTAGGCTAGTGTAGGAGAGGGGGGGAAACTGACCAGGTGGTGATTGCCTACCTCCTTCCAACGCAAAGTTAATGTTCACCTGGCGTTTTCAGAAATACGCCCAGTTAAACTAGGTATTAAACCCAAGTACCACACAGCACACAGCACACAGCACACAACACACAGCACAGGTGACCTTGCCCTTGTTATCGTCAGGTTGCAACCGTCGTCGTGGTCGGGTAAGTAGGTACATAATTTAGTATCAAAGTACGGGGTTTTGTGCGGTTTGGTCGGAAATACTTTCAACTCATCCCGTTCCGAACGTTTCAACAGCACGTCATTCCAGGAACTGCCCCTGGTCAGACTTTACCTACCTAGGTACCTTGGCTTATACGCTCGTAATCATAATACGATGAGCTAAGCCTGCAAAGTTTTGATGACGAAGACCATGAAATGCATCAAGAATCCCAGCTCATTGGTGGTAGGTTTAGCATTGGCGTAGCTGAGAGAGAGCCTCTGAGACTTGCTAGTTCGATATCGCCTAGCCGAATGCCAACAAGGTCTTCTTCGTCTTTGGAATCTCCGTGTACCGGTATACCTATGCCTCTGAGGCAGGTAGTAGAGAGCTGTATGCTAAGAGATATCGATGAGACGATTTCGTACCTAAGTTACTAAGAAACCTTACGAAGCTCTGTTGCGGCTAATGCAGTGTCACTCGTTCTTCCTGGGCGTTCCCCCAACTGCTTTAATCGTTGGTCGGGAGGATTGTCGAGGAACTTGCCTCACACATACTCTCCCCTTAATAAAATGGCATGGTCGTGATGCATCTCTGATCCACTCACTTACATATGACCGAACTTCCGGCCTACCTAGGTATGTTTAGTTAGAGTCACCTACTTATCAATGTCATTTTTTAAGGAAAATGTGAGAGAAGTCCAGAAACGAAATCCGGTTCTTTCGGCTATGATGGTCTGCTGTACATCCAGAAGCCAAGAACGGGCGCTTCCCGATTGTGTACCACGGGGTCTGTAATTTGCCGAAATGGGTATAAACTCGATTTCAGGTACAGCCCGAGAGCCAATAGCGATGTAGATGTTAGTTAAGACACTATTCTGGTAGTAATCAAAAGACAGTACCTACGCTACCAGAAGGAGATTTGCGCGGTGGGAGAGGAATGATAAGCTTAACAACCGATTATAGAAACAAAACGCATATACTATATTGGGGATCGGGTCCTTTTTATATTGGTCGTGGGATATCGTTAAGGTCGTTTTAGGCCACTGGTACTTGATTTGGGAAATAATAATTCGAGGTTGGTTGACCACAACGTGACACTCGTCTTGTGGGTTTTGCCCTGAAGTATTCGTCAACCTAGATCTTGATCCTGCTCGAGGGATAAGTCTGCTAGGCAGCCAAATGACTCACATGAGTAGGCGACGTTGACAGCGCACCTACACAAGGGCGGCCAAATTCATGCCTATAGGTATCAGCGAGGGCAAAACTCCTAGGCTCACATACTTCATATCTCATAATAGGCACCGACTACCCTCATCATATGAATCTCCTCACAACCTCTAGACGCAGACCCATGCAAAGCTTCCCGATATACCGAGCGTCTTCAAATACCCGGGGCAATCGACCCAAGGGATTTCCATCGATGACTCTTGGATGCACAGGTCGATTGAACTGATGACTCGAAAACCATACTCTTTCGATGACAATATCTAAGCAAAGACCTTAAGCAGCCACATAGAGGCAAATTCACGTGGGAGGCACAAAAAAAGGCCGGGCCGTATGAAGCGACTCCAGCAACCCGGAATGTTTTGTTCTTTCATAATTCTGTGTTGGCATTTGGTTATGATCGATGATCCTGGTCCATAGGCAACCTTATTGATGCTGACCGAGGAATTCATCGATCGTCGTCATGACCCTTCATGGCTTGCGTAGAAAAATCCGTTTTCCCGTACACCGAAGCCAAATGCAAAGAAAACAACCGTTCCCCCCCTTGACCCGCGTTTAAACCTCCTGGATCTCCCTCAATCGTCGTAGTGTCGATCGCATGGCGGCGGCGGCAGCGGTTCTATAATTCAGTAATTAGTATCCGCATCTCCAATCTTCCCAGCGAAATCAAGATCCGGTTGTTTATAGTTTAACATACGATACGGTGTAGGCTCCTCCGGCAACGGTCTTTCCACATGACTTGCAGTTCCAGATACCGACTGAGTGGCGCTTGACTGTGACCTTTCCGCAGAAAGTGCAGGTATACTTGGCGTGCTGAGTGATTTCCATCTTCTTGACTTGTTTTCGGAGGGAGGCACCGTATCTATTCAAGGATAATCATGGTTAGTGGAGGTTCGTAAAATTTTGGAATGTTTTCTGCGTATTTTCCTCGAGTCTAGAAAAGCATAGCTCGTCTCATGCGGTTGGCGACCTTCGCACACCAGCGACGAGAGAACCAATTGACGGACTTGCGACAAGATATAAATTAAATCTTGGATATACTAACCTAGTACCGTACTTGCCGGTAACACCGACCTTCTTCGTGCGCTTCGTCATCTTGTATGAGGGTTGTAGGAATTAACCGTGGAGTGTAGATGACCGACGGAAGGGTTGCGTAGTTTGGAGTTGTGGTCGAAATATTTCTGTAGTCAAATTCAAAATGTCGAATAGCAGAGTGGGCTGCTGCTAGGCTAACAATTTCGATTTTGCGTGTGAAAGTTCTCAAAGTGGTGGTCCTTCCTAGGGCTAAGCGAGCCGAAAAAGGCGCTTGGACCATGTTAAAATAGACTTCGCTACATAGAAGTACCTATGTAACTCGGCATGAGCTTATGTAAGGAGAAGAGGAGAAATCAGGTGACTTAAATGACTAATCCTACATTGTCGCCCAATTAGATCGCCGGAGGTAAATTGTCTGTATCAGTCGATAGATTCATCCGAGGATCTGTAGAAAATGCCCCGATTCGTCAAACTACAGGCGAGAATGATCTAGTCCCACTATCTCATTGGCTTATCTCTCAACGGCAACGGAGCAAAGAGTGCCATAGATGATCCCGGCGATGATCACTATGTGAACTAAACCGTTTGAGGAAGCAATCCGAAACCTACGGCGCTCTCTACCGGATTGACATTCACGAAACACCGGAGTTGCCATTCTTTTAGAGATGTCGAGCCGAGGCAAGTACGGCCTTGATTCCTTTCATAGCTAGAACCGCGCTCCGTGATTACCGCAGTTTAAAGCCTCCTCCTGTATGCATCCTAGTTTGTCGAGGCGATGCGAGAAATGGCGAAGGGAATATCAAACGCCCAGATCCGCAATGTTCAAAATTGCATGTCTCGTCCGCTGATGTCTTTGTACATATATAATCCTAATAGGGGAGACTCGCCGCGAATTTGATCGTTTCCTTCCCGAGTTCCCATCTTAGTAGCGAAAAAAAGAGTATTAGTTGTCCAGTCCAAGCCAGGAATAATTCCTACATACTCAACTTACGAGATCACCTTACTCTATTTTGTCATATACTTAGCTACGCCCCTTAGATCATATTCTGCGGGCGCGGTGATAATGTCGTTTAAGAAACATTCTCGCCAGTATGACTTGGTGGTATTTGGTGCAACTGGTAAACCTTCATAACCCGTTTAGAAGTATAGTTATAGTCAACTGCTAACAGCTACTAGGCTATACTGGATCATTGTGCGCGGAACACATCACGACTCACTTCCCAACGGATCTGAAATGGGCAGTAGCTGGCCGCTCCGCAGAAAAGCTGCAAGATGTCGTCAGGAAATGCAAGGCTCTTAACCCAAATCGCCAATCACCCGAGATCGAGATATGTAACCTCAACGATACAGACCTTGCAACATTGGCCAAGAAGACATTCTCATTGATTACGACGGTCGGGCCCTATGCAAAGTACGGAGAGCATGCTTTCAAAGCTTGCGCAGAAGCTGGGACGCATTACTTCGATGCGACGGGCGAGTGTGTTTGGCATCAGAACATGATAAAGAAATACGAAGCGCCTGCGAAAACTACAGGCGCTTGCCTGTTTCCCCAAACTGCCATCGAATCTGCCTTATCAGACCTTGTAACTTTTTCGATGGTATCAGCAGCCCGCTCCGAATTATCAGCCCCCGTTAGCGATGTTATTGTCTCAGTGCATGAACTACAGTAAGTGTAATGCCTTGAAGGAATCTTGTCAAAATTGAGCTAACAAAATGCAGCGGCACGCCATCGGGAGGCACGCTTCATACAGTCTTGGGTCTCTTTGACATATTCCACTGGAAGGAGATCGTCGGGTCTCATAAGCCATATGCTCTGTCACCCATCCCGAACTCAAAAGTGGCGCCCAAACCCTCATTTCTGTCGAGATTAACAGGCTTAAATTCTATACCTGATCTTGGCCTCATGGCGACGTCTGTGACTGCAGGGACAAACACGGCGGTTGTTCAGCGCAGTTGGGGCCTGTTTAAACAGGAGTCATCGTTGCAGAAGTATTTTCACGGACCAAATTTCACATACCGGGAGTATATGAGAGCTAGAAATTACCTGGGAGGCATAGCGATGCATTATGGTCTTATTGTCAGTGGACTGACGCTTATGTTCTGCCCGCCAATTCGAAAGATGATGCGCAAGTTTGTTTCCCAGCCCGGTGAAGGGCCGTCGAAGGAAGAACAAGCAAAAGAGTATATCCAGATCCGGGGAGTGGCAACGCCGGACTCTGCAACAGATATCCATAAGAAAATCTGGTGCAAGGCTGAGTATAGCGGCGGAATGTATTATCGTGAGCATTCAAATTTCAACCCAGCCAACCTAGTCAACCCTAGCAAAAGTTTCGCGACTAACAAACCCATTTGTCATAGTAACTGCGGTTCTTCTAAGCCAAGCTGCCTTGACGATGTTACAAGACGACGTTGATCTTAAAGGGGGTGTTTATACACCCGCTTGTCTCGGTCATGGATATGTTGACCGTTTGCAAGACGCCGGGTTTAAAATCGAAACGAAGGTTATTGACGCATGATGAATTATTCTCAACATTTGCCTACCACCTTGGAGGATGCGAGAGGCGTATTTATGCATGAATTATGATATTCTAGTAATGAGGATGAAGGGAGTCAAGATATAGTTATCATATAATTCAGAGTTGATATAGGTGGGAAGGAGTCACCGGCATTTAAGGTTGGCTGTTGGCAGGCTGGGTGATCCCCGTGGACATAATGAGAGAAGAAGATAGGACGACTCAGGTCATAATAGGTTTATTTATATGTTCTTCTATGTATTTCTGAAGCATTTTATATGTGATAATATACACCGGAATACACTGAGAAGAATCCCCGCAAAATCTGCAGGGATTATGGGTGACAAGCCGGCGCTAGCTACTTTTTATTTTAATTTTTTCCCTTGCCTTTTTCATTGAGCGTGGACCAATTCTCAAACGTCATAAGGCCGAGCTGCCAGGGAAGTATGCAGGTAGTATTGTACCTAGACTGCTAGCTCCTGGAAAGTGCTTCTCTAAAACTTGTTAGCTTCAAATGTTTGTAAACCGTAGTTGTAGACACCACAATCTTCCAAACGGTAACTTAGAGATATCATCATAGCTTAATTCATTCTTTAAACTGGCCTTTTCCTAATTCTGGGATAAGTATCGTTGAAACACGAACACGACTAATTGATAGTCTCTTCCCGAATTCGTCCGCAGACCTCTCCTCGTATGGCAACGCAATAACACAAGACAAAGGAGAGCTGCCATTACTCTTCGAAGGCCACCTGCGCGTCAGGGCGATCCGAGCTAGCTTTTATACGTGTAAAGCTACGAATACATATACTTTAATAATAGCTAAATATCACAATGGCTGCATCACCAAGAGCTTCGACGAGCTATGGACCAAAGTCTGAACGAACTCCTCTGCTACGCCGAGATACCGATCGTCCCAAAAGCGCGCGCAACGTAACTTTTAATCCGAACCCTGTATCAAGAACCATCGATCCAGATCCAGCTTCCTTGAGCTCGTCGCCTAGCACCATAAACACTCTTGAGCATGGACGCACGACAAGCTCCTTTGCCTCGGGGAGTAGCTCCGCCGCTCCGCCTCCTATGCTCTCGGCGCTAAACAATCGCCTACGTCGACGCAACAGCCACGGCTCCGTCTTCACTGCTCTCCCTCCGTCGATCGGCCCTGTGCCGAAGATTGGTCCTCAGCGAAGTTCCAAGACTGCGCAAAAACTGAAATTGTTACCGAATCCCGAGCTTGACGAAGAGGGGCCGGACGAGGAGAGCGGTAGAGATGTCTATTCGCAATACACGCGTATTAAAGATCCTACCGCGAGGCGAGATGCCGCACGCTTAGGTAAAGCAGACCGAGATAGGTTACCACGGGTTACGGCCTACTGTACTGCAAATAAATATCAAATGGATGGCTTGATGCGGTTCCTAAAGGGCAGGGGCAAGAACCGGGGAACGAATCCCAAATTAATCGACGAGTGCATATATTCGCCTTATAACTATACGCTTGGAAAGTCGGCAGAACGAACTGAAGCGGCAGAAGAGATACGTGAGAGGCCGGTTCAGATGTATGAAAGGAGGCATTCAACAGGTGAATTCGAAGAACACTCAGATGAGTATAGGAGGGAAAGCCTACACAACCTACAGGCGCAACAACATGACGGGGCGTCAGAGGCTGAACAAACCTTCAGCAATGGCCGAGATATACACAACAATCTCACCTACCCGTCGCGACCAGAGGACGAAAGCGCGATACATGATCCACATTCTCATTCGGAACAGCACTCGCATGACGTTGAGTTCGACACCAATGTACACACTCCGGAGGTATTCCTGTTCGATTACGGTGTCGTAGTCATATGGGGGATGACGCTGGGACAAGAACAACGATTTCTAAAAGACATAGCAAAGTTCGAACTTGAGAAGCTAGACCCGGACGATATGGAAACGGAATGCTTCAATTTCTATTATACGAACGAGTATCAGCCGCGGATATACAACGACTTCATCACGTTACGAGATAAGAGGAATTATATGACGAAACTAGCTATATCACATGCACTCGCCCAGAGCGTCAAGGTACAACATCTCCCTCTGGTATAGACATTGTTCAAGTTGACTCTCGCTTGGATCCGTCTACGTATAATACAAACGCTTTCTTACTAATGCAATGTTAGACCTCCCTTTTCGAAGAACTCATCGCTTCGACTGTCGACACATGCAAGGATATCCCGACGCAAATAGCTCTAACGGGAAAAATCGCCCTTTCACGCGCACAAATCAATATGCAGATCGGTGAGCTGTTCATCCTCAGGATCAACATCCACCTCAACGGCAGTGTCCTCGATACGCCCGAGCTCTTCTGGGTCGAGCCCCATCTTGAGCCCGTCTACCAGGCCGTCCGGAGCTACCTCGAGATGGACCAACGTGTCGGTCTTCTCACCGAACGACTTGATGTCATTGCAGATTTGCTAGCCGTGCTGAAAGATCAGCTCAGTCATGGGCATGGCGAGAAATTGGAGTGGATCGGTAGGACTTCTCTCTTCAGCCCCCTTAAATACGAGACTAACAGACTACAGTTATCGTGCTCATCGCAGCGGAGATCTTGGTCGCGGCAGTCAACATCGTCGTCGACCTGTACGCGGGCGTAGATTAGCGTCTCATCAATACCAGACTAGTTTGTTTTTTCATAGATGGGAAAAAATGCAATGGGCGGCGTTGGGGGTGCATCGGATTGGTTACATAGCCTCATACGTAGTGTAGCATACATAACATACCTCATACCTAAGTGAACTCCATCTTCATAGCATCCATACCTTCAAGTCGTTAGGTACGGCGGATCTATTAGCAAAAGGCTGTCAATTCGGGATATATAGTTTGTATATATAGCATCAATGCCGGTATCGATATTACCAAGCTGTTCAGTCATATATACCTTAGGTACCTATGCTTTACCTCATATAAATCATGGAGAACTACATACACCTTAATAAATGAAGAAAATTTCGCAACATAATACAAGAGCACATGCACATGCACACGGACGAAGGAAACGCGATTCATAGAAACTCAACGCATTTAAGTCATATTTAAAGCGATCCTATGCCACCGAGAAGCAACAAGACCCTTCCTGACTGATTACCTGCAGCTTCCTAGCTACCTAATTCCGTAGTGTACACGCAATGTCCAAAAATTTCCGTTAACGCCTGCTATTTTGGTAGGATCGTAGAACGTCATCCCGATCCGACCGTCCCCCCAAATTCATTCGTGGCGCTGAGCAGAAACTGCAGTTTTTCCCTTCTCCGTTTTCCGTCTAGTGCTAGAGATTAAGAGATAAATAGGTAGAGCTATAAATGGCCTTTCTTCCTCTGGCGAGATTATTACGTGTATGGAGGGGATAGGGGTAGTTCAGGTTCGGAGTCGTTGCATGGGGTCGCGGGGCCATGGGGCCACATCAAGCAACACGGGTCATCAGGGACCTACTCCTAGTCGACCACGCCGTCGTTTTCGTCAACCTCGGTCTCTGGGTCTGTATCCTGGTCACCTGCAGGCTCGGCGTCACCGGGCTCTGCCATCTCGACGTCTTGATCCTCGTCCATATCATCGTCCTGGACCTCCTCGAATCGGGTTGAGCGTCCTCCCGCCCCACTTCGAGAGCCTTTGTTGCCACCAGCATGGCTGTCCCTTCCGCGCGAGCGCTCACGAGTCACGTCTTTGGTGCCACGTTTGAACTCTTCGACGGCCTCCTTGTATTGAACTAACTCTTGCTCGTAACGGACTTGAAATTCTTCCTTCTCTTTCTCAGGCAGATCTTTCCAGCCTCTGGCGAGCTCCTCTTCAAGTCGAAATTCACCCGCCGCGATCTTCTCCTTATTCTGGGCTTGGAGGATAGGTCGTGTGTCGTTACAGTAGATCTCGAAGGCGTTGCTGGGGCGCTTTGGTCGTTTGGCAATGCCATTAGTTCCACCTCGGCCGTGATCTTTTTGTGTATCGAGCTGCGAGTGTGAGAAGGCGTCGGAGCTGGGTGAGAGGGTCGTTAAGTTCTGGCTGATGAAGGTAGCATTAGGATTCGTGCCGGGCTCAGAGACGGGAAGCAGAGAGGGCTTCCGATGCCCACGCTTCGTTCGGAGCGGCTTGTCCTTCGGCTGCTACGAGGTCAGATACCTGATATCAACGAAGAGTTTCCAAAAGTGGGTGGGATGGTGATACATACAGTGGGAGGCGGGCTTGGGCTGCCCTCTGAATCCTCAACATTAGTGCTTGTGCGCTTGGCAACTTGCTCAAGGAGAAATGCGCGTTCAAGACGGAGCTTCTGAACCTGGCGCTGGAGTCGGCTTAGTCGTAATTGATAGGCCTTGGCCTCTTCTTCAATCTCCTTAGTGCGCTCTTTGAGCTGAATACACTTGCGGCGGTAGGCTTCCTCAACGGTAGGGGGGAGGGAAGGCGGGTTTGCTGCGAAGTTATTAGAGTCAGCTTTATCTCTCAATAAAATGTGTAACGCGCGACCCGAGCCCTTATCAGGCTCTAGTTCGGTCATAATCGCATTGGTGTCAGATCCAGTGGTGTCCACATCAAAATCTGTAGAGATGGGTTTGACCTCGGAAAGATGCTCAACAGGGCTGGAAGCAGTCGCCATTCCCGAAGGCCATCGAAATAAATGCGGTCCATTCATATTTTTACTGTTGTGGTTCATGACAGGAGTGATTCACATTGAGGTGATGGTAGGTAATGGTAACGATAGCGTTGGGTTGCTAGGGATCCCATAACGGAATTCATATTGAAATATATTGACGGTGTCGCATCATGTAATGTTTGAGGTAGTAAGATATGTACTTACAATTCTGCGGCGCCATTGTCACGAAGGAGTGTGACTACAATCAGTCACGTTTGCTCCTCGTTATTGGCAAGAGACCCGATGAATAGTGAATAGGAACAATCCGAAGCTGGGTTTGGATTTAAAGATGAAAAAGATAAACTATTGTAGAAAGACACAATATGATGCGCCTTTGTGCGGTGTGATAATCGTCAAATTGTAAGGCTGGCAGTGGTGATGATGATGATGATGTTTGAAGAAAAGGAAATCAGAAGTAACACCAAGACGCGCGACGAATTAATCAAGTTACATAAATCATAAATCTACATAACTTCGAGTACTTCGTACTATGAGAAACGAGGCTGATATTCCGAGAGTTTAATTGGACTAGAAAAGCTTATGGTCCACTTATTCCGCAAGGCTATGATTCGTAGTTTCCCAACTATTAAACCAACAGCAAAAGGGAAGATCCACTAACATCAGCGGTACGTACCTGCCCCTGCCCAGTGGTGCCCTGTAGCTTGGTCCCACTAATATTTTTCTAGCAGAGCTTCAAATGCAGCCCACTTGACTTTGTCCAAGGTTACTGTCGGTGGCCTATTTTACACGATAACATCCCCAACCAAACTTTTACAGAGTCGACAAACAGTTGGGAAGATATCCAAGTGAAAGCAGAAAATATGTCGCTCAATATACCAAGCGCGCCAAACGCTGGCCTGTTCAAGCAAGGCTACAACAAGTATGTTGACCCCACCACCGCTAATAAATCTGCCAAATCTGTATAGACACAGAGAGAGAAAGGATGCCTAACGATACTACAGCTACGATTCCGAAGATGGCGCTGTTCTACGAAATATCGATGCTTGTCGAGCCATTTCCTCCACGGTTCAGACCTCCCTAGGTCCCTATGGCCGAAATAAGATCATTATCAACCATCTACAGAAGATGATCCTAACCTCCGACGCCGCTACCATCCTCAAGGAACTCGATGTTGTCCACCCCGCAGCCAAGCTTTTAGTTATGGCAAGCCAACAGCAAGAAGCCGAGATGGGCGATGCTACAAACCTCGTCATCGTCTTGGCTGGCGAACTCCTCAAGAAAGCCGAAGATCTACTACGAATGGGACTTAAAACGGCCGATATAGTCATAGGTTACGAACGTGCCCAAGCCTTTGCTCTCGAAGAGTTGGAGAATCTTGTCATAGATAAAGTAGATGACCTCAGAAACCAAGAGGAGCTAAGCAAGGCAATCAAAACAGTGGTCGCCAGCAAACAGAATGGAAATGAGGATACACTTGCAGACCTCGTTTCCGGGGCTGTTCTTGCCGTACTCCCTAAGAACCCTGCCAATTTTAACGTCGACAACATCCGAGTAGTTAAAATTATGGGTGGAAGTCTAGAGCAGAGCAGAGTGGTAAAGGGTATGGTGTTCCCTAAGGAACCAAACGGATCTGTCAAGAAGGCGACTAAGGCCAAGGTCGGTGTCTTCTCTTGCCCGATCGACACCAGCCAAACCGAGACCAAGGGTACTGTTTTACTGCACAATGCCAAGGAGATGATGGACTTTACGAAGGGAGAAGAAGAGCAGCTAGAAACCGCCATCAAGGAATTACATGACGTTGGGTTGAGAGTCGTTATTGCCGGTTCAACCGTAGGAGAGCTTGCACTGCACTACCTCAACCGGTACGGCATCCTTGTTATCAAGATTCTAAGCAAGTTTGAATTGCGAAGAGTGTGCCGAGTTGTTGGCGCTACCCCTCTCGCCAGATTGGGCGCTCCTATGCCTGACGAAATGGGATCCGTGGACGTCGTGGAGACCCTCGAGATTGGCGGAGACCGCGTGACGGTGTTCAGACAAGAAGACGAGGTCACGAGAACTGCCACTATTGTTCTTAGAGGCGCCACACAGAACCATCTCGACGATGTTGAGCGAGCAGTAGATGACGGTGTCAACGTAGTGAAGGCTATTACTCGTGACGCACGACTGGTCCCCGGTGCTGGTGCAGCAGAGCTACAACTCGTCAGCAGGATACAGGCTATTGCCGAGAAGACACCAGGCTTGCCGCAGTATTCTATTCGAAAGTACGGCGAGGCCTTTGAAGTGGTACCCCGAACCATTGCGGAGAGCGCCGGTTTAGATGCCACCGAGGTGTTAAGTAGACTCTATACGGCACATAACAAGAAGGACGGCTTGATTACAGGAGTTGACATAGAGGTAATAGTCTTAACTATATTTCTCCCTAGGACACAGAACTAACATTATCTCTGTTATAGAACGACGATGGCACTGGCACTTTGGACGCCAAGAAGAACGGCATCTTGGATCTTATGGTCACTAAGGCCTGGGCTATCAAGTTAGCAACAGAAGCAGCACGGACTATCTTGTCCGTTGACCAGATCATCGTATCCAGGCAAGCAGGCGGACCAAAGCCGCCTGGACCTAACCCCAACTGGGATGAGGATTAAAAGTGCGTCAGTGGTGCTAAAATAAATGGTCATATGCGGTCTTCAGGGGCAGGACGGAGTTGTACGCGAGTATAGACGGTCAACCTGCAAACTCAGGGGTACCGATAGCATTTATTGATGATTAGGTAGACCTAAAAGTAAAGCTCGACACATAGTGTACATTTGAAGCATACTCGTGACTTCGCTGCGTATGTGTTGCGTACCTCCTAATAGACCCAAACGCCAGCCACGATCTCCCACAAGATAGTGCTAGATACTATCTTGCAGAGATACAGTAGTAAAGGTATAGTATAGGAGTATATGATCTACCTGAGTATATTTCAGTTGATGGACATCCGCATATCTCATCTTGATTTCTTATATATACCCTAGATACATATCCTATATATTTGTGTACGTAGAGCACGTCGTACTACATATCTGTGCCATTATAGTAGATCCTCAGGTGCTTGAAGATAAGCTACAAACATCGTAATATTGTCCTCAATTACCCTATGGGCTACGTGTGACGACTTCGAGTATAGATAAGGGGCTCTACAATCATCGACGCACATTTGTGTCTTTCGGTCACCGAAGTGGTAGTCTTTTAGAGAAAAAAGGGATAACACAGGTGACACCAATTTCGATTTAGGGTGATATAATAGCAAAGTAGACTCACTAGGGAAATGCCAATGCTCATCCTGCATGATGCACTAAAGCCACGAAGCTGGATCTTGCTGACTGCATGCTATAGGGGTTCCCTTAAGGTAAGTAGAGCTTCCTGCATGATCTACAAGCTTTATTATAGCATTAGTAGGGATTTCTTAATTCCGAGAAGGTACAAGATCCAGGGCGCTGGGTCAAAGCTACATGATGCCAGTCACTGCGTACTCAGGCCCCCAATCACACCTACCCATATCTCTACCAACACACATGCCACAATCATCTAGTTACCTATGCCTGAGAACAAGATGAGATATCATAATGTAGTGGCAGAATTGTTTGTATATCGTTTTTAGTACACCTAGTAGGATTATATAGTACTAGACCCTTAATATGAATAAGCACCCCTTGTTGCTATCAGGCAGGTTAAACAACGTCTCCAAACCTCGAATCAAGGCTGACTATTAAGTAAGCGCAGAATCAAAATATTATAGGAGTTCAGCTATGTTCACCTCAGTCAGTACCTAAAGCTTTGGGTCAAGTACATACACCCGTCGGGACGGGTCACAGCTTGTTCATATGATTGAGCGGACTTAAAAGGGGATATACGTGCGTAGTTGACCTACAAAGTACCTAAGAAATGCATACCGACTGATAATTATGCTAGTTTGCAATCATTTATTCCGTATCCAGACTGTTTGTTTGAAAACTTTGTCCTGGATTTTCCTGCGTACATGATACGGCTCTGCTCATATCTCATATCTCCCTTCTAGCATGGGGGTCACACAATCTCATATAAGACTTAGTTATCATGATAAACAAGCGGTGGGCGTATCGCGGGTCACGGGAAGATTAGGAAGGGAAGATACCTATGCATTGGCCAACGATCACATCGATAGGGCTGAATGACTCACTTGCGTTGGTTCTGATCAAAAGCAATGAGGATATTTTCACCGAATGGGGTAGCACAGAACTTACTAGAGGATCATATGCCGACGAGCTAGTGATACACATTCTATGACCGCCTAGTTGAATACCGCGATATGATACACATTGACGAATATCGAGCTCAGAATCCCGTCGACCAACGATTTGGTCTCTTTGGTACTTTTTCTTTGTGAAGCCTGATATGAAACTAGGGGTTCAATATTTCACTACAAGTGGAATCCTCTGTAGGAACGAGGGTATACTGGCCCTGAAACCAAAGAACATAGAATTTCCGGAGATAGTAGGTATCTATGGAAAGTTCCGGAGAGATCTCAACCCGGTTTCGATCCTAAATTAGTACGGAGCCATGATCCAGTTCCAACATCACTATCACTAAGGCAGTCCGTTAAGCAAACAAGTACCCTTCCAGTATTTCCCCATGACTCGAATATCACGAACCGGATCCCGTTCTACAAGAAAGCAAGCAAGATATGTGTACGGGTCATCGCAAGTGGATCTCTGCAAAGTAAGCATGCCAGCGGCGACTAGCGGCGATGCGGCTTCCACGTGGTGCATCTATATAAGCTGACTGCAGCGATAACCCATCCCTATATTACGACGCGGGCTCTACCACGCCGCTGAAAAGGCCATACTATAATACTATAGCAGATAAAAAGTTCATCTCTTACGTATCTAGCATACGCAACAAACTGGGAACGGCCAGGAGCGTTAAGATTCTGACATGAACACTAAACCTCCCCCTACCGTAGCTTGCTCGCTCAGCCCGGGGATCCGCACGGCAGCGACGGCAGGCAGGTGCAGAAAGCGGAAGAGAGGGGAGTCAGAGGGAAGCGGGCGCGCCGGTCTGCGACCCAACTGCGTATCTCTTAGCATTACGTATCTTACCATCTGATCTGGGGCAGCCCGGCTGGTTGTATCCGTTCGTATGTAGGTATGTACGCTGACACATGATGCTAAGCTTCTTTTCTTTTCCATTTCCCTTCTTTTTCCCGCCCGCTTCTTTCAGCTAAGATGCACAGGCAGGCAGGCGGGTATTAGGTAGGTAAGTCAGGTAGTCCAGCCACCCGGAGCGGCAGCGCCTCCAGTCGAAACCTGCTTACGCATTGCACAAGAGGCGGTCCCCAGCCGACCAACCACACACCCTCTTCGCACTCGCACTCGCACCCGCCCACGACCTGCAGGCCACACAGGTCGGCGATCTGTATCGCAGCGCTGTGAGTTCATGGACGTATTCCCCCACCTACGTACCTAGTCAAGCCATAGGGCGGCTTACACAACAACTACGTAGCCAAGTGCAGGTAATCTTAAGTACCCGGGAACAAAAGAAAAAAAGAAATCGATATACGTAATCTACGCGCGAAAGTGCAGTGGACCTATGTAAGTCTCTACCTTAAATATATTACTACGACACCACACCTCTGCGTCTGGTACTTTTGCGCGCATAGGTTTGTGTGCCTGGTTAATTAAACGATCCAGCGCCGGGAGGATACCGAGGCAGCAAAAGTACTAGGAGACGAGAGAGCGCGAGGACGGATCGGGCAGGACGGGAGAGGGAAAGCAGCGAAGTGGGCTGGTCCCCCCGTCACCCACTGTAAAATGTCGGCCGGGCGAGCGAGAAGAGGGAATGCTGAGGATCCAGAAAAGTCAAGAGAGGAAGAGAGAATGTGTAGGTAGGTAGAGAAGTTTGCCGGTGCTAGGGAAGCAGGAGAGCGGCGCAGTACCCGCTGGAAGGGTTGTTCGAAGGATCTATTCGCTTTTGGAGCACATGAGATATGCAGGCGTATCTGTGTACATGCCCCACGAGTGTGTGGTTGTATCGGACAAGTAGATGTATGTATGTGTATACATACTTGCATCCGCCACAGCCAAAGGAACGATCCTCCTGAATTGTATAGGCGTGGCTTGTTTGCTTGCTTGGTTGCAGATAGATACCCCCAACTTACACAGACGCCGTTATACTCTATGGACCACGATGTTACTCAATCTACATACGCGCGCTACCCTACGTACATGATAAAAAAACCCTGACAACCATGTGGCGAGATACGGGAGGATAAACGATGTATGTAGTCACTCGCCCCAGCAGACGGGAGGGTACGGGATGTTGTATTGTCAAAGCCATATGATGACAGCCGGCTATCGACGTATGTCTCACTCGTGTAGTAGCGCATCGCCTCGCCTTGGAAGGTGGGCAGAAGAAGGTATATGCAATGCTACCGAAAACCTTCCAAGTAGCAAGCTGAAGAAAATCACCCACAGACCTGAGAGCAAGTCCGTGAGAGAATCCTATACGAGACATGCCCAGTCATCTGAGCGAAGACCGTATCTGCAAGAAAAGAAGAATAAATAGACATTCAATATCGAAAGCGAAGAATTGAAACGTGGTGGCGGCGACTTTTACAATTCGGTAGCTAGAAAGTAGTTAGTCTGCTACAAGAGAAGCTTGGGGTATTACACTGTATCTCCGCTCATTGGTATTACGTAGATCGTACCTAACCAGTCAGTTCCTAGATTGCGCCTATGTATTCTGATGAACAAAGGTGCCGTGGTGGGATGTCTCAGAGGAACGAGCAGTCGAATGTGGACGGAGACAAGGGTACCACGATGCGGAAATGCAAGGGCCATCTTTGGAGCCGTCCATACAACAGACTTAAGCATAAAAGACGGACGTGGGATGAATCAAATGGAGACTCATGTGTACCTTGCTTGCCGCTGCAACCGTCGAGATAAAACCTCCGAAACCCGAAAGTCTCGATCTCTCAACCTCCATCAACCCCCCGTCGTCCTAGACTGCTAGGATGATCACGAATCTCTCTTCTTGGGACGAAACCGGGGCCTTTGATGGCTTGCAGCTGAAGTACATTTGCACACGGAGATGGTGTGGCACTGAGACCTCACTATGACCAGTGACTTTCCAAGGAGAGACGGACCCCTCATTAGCGGTGAGCCATCTTCGACCAGAAACTGGGTAGGAATTTGGCCTTGTTAATTGCACGAACCTGCTCTGCTGCTCTCTCCCCTAGCTTTGCCCCTGGAACTAGTACTATGTTCCTGCATACAGCGTATCTTGCGCACGTTGGTCGCTAGGATATTTGAGGGGACGTACGATTAAAAGCACTAAAGAAGAAGAATATTTCCTGCAGTTGGTCCTGTTTGGTTTAGTTGATAGCATGGTAGAACCATAACTTCTGAATTCGACTTTATCGACATCGGGTGCCTCGACCGAGCTTGTGGGGAAGAGTTGGTGGAGAAATCAACGGGCGAGGTTACAATGATTGTTACCTAGTTAACCCATGCTGCCCATGATGCTGCAGAAGCGAGTCCTTGGTAAACCTGTATTGAACTTATTGAACCTAGATCTCGACGTCTGGGTGTAGCTTAGCTCATAGGTTTGCCCGGATAGCCATGATAAGTGTTGACGATATCAACAACGATGCTACCTTGAGAGGTAACAAATGGCGTACTAATAATCACCATGAGCTCTAAACGACTTACACAACTACAGAAATTCAAGCTAGGTTGACCGCTAAATAAGAGAACGAACGTGGTACAAACGCCATGGGTGCAAGGT